GTTGTTGAAGGCAGAGGGTCAATCTCGACCTCCAGAGATGCAGGGGCCTTGCATGTTTCTCCCTTCGGGGCATCCTCACCACGAGATGATGTGTCCAGTTCGGAAGGCTCGACGACCTCGACTGGTTTCCTAACTCGAGTCACCAACGCCGACCCTTCATCATCATTCAGGAGGTCTTGGGCCAAGCTTGCGCTCGTTTGAGCATACCTTTTTCGCAACCTTCGAACGGGGGTTTTCTTGTCCTGAGGGTCTTTGGGTTTCGAGACCCTTTTTCTCTTTTGTCCTTCTCAAACTTCGGGCATAAAGGCTTGGTTTCTTCCCCAGGCGGGACCGGCCTCATCTCGGACACATCTCCAAGACCTGCATGGGCAAGCACGAGCAAGTAAAAACACCGCCAAAATGTATGAAAAATGTTGAAACTATTGAAAGGCACCCACCGTGGTTTTTGGCCTCCCACTGGCCCTTCGCCACTTACGCTTGTCGTAGGAAGAAGTGCCAGTTAATTTTCTGACCTAATCCTCGAGGTCGGGCACCGCTAAGGGCGCCCAAGAAGTGGCTGCCGAGAGAAAGATGAGAGAGTTACGGAAAATGAAAGAACATGAATAGATACAAAAACACGGATTCCACTTACGAATAAAGTTCCACCTCTCCGGGAACGGCATTTTTTCCTCGGGGATGATGTCCGAAGTCCTGACTCTAACAAATCGGCTCATCCAACCCCGATCATTAGTTTCATCGGTGCTGGCAAAAAAAGATTTCGTGGTTCGAGCTGCAGCTTGATGAGTCCTCGAAATAACTGGGGTTGATACAACCGGACTAGGTGGCTGAGGGTGAACTCCAAACCCTCGGCCTTCTCAGAGGAAAACCGCAGCATGATCATGATGCGCCAGAATGAAGGGTGGATTTGACCGAGGGTGACTTTGTATGTCTTGCAGAAATCGATCACCACCGGATCGAGGGGGCCCAGTATGAAGGGGTAAGTGTAAACACTCAAAACCCCCTCCTTGTGGGTAGTTATGCTTTCATCAGGTCTCGGGATCTGCACCTCGACCTTGTCTCCCCAGCGACAATCCTCCTTTACTTCCTTAACGAGCTGCTTAGTTATCAGGCTAATGTATCAGGATACATGCTCGCATCGGCCCTCGACGTCTGGCTAATGTATCAGGATACATGCTCGCATCGGCCCTCGACGTCTGGAGGATTCTCGATAACGAAGTCCTTCTTGATAATGGAATCACTAGGGGTGATCTCTTCAAGTGTTGGCGGCACCACCGGTTTGGCCGGCCGGGAGGAAGAAGAAGATGATGCTTTATCCTTTTTGGGGACCGTCTTGGAAGTTTTTGCCATAGTTATAAGCTAAGTATTATGGGTGCACAGGGATACGGTGTTTTGAGGCAAGAGCTTGGTGTTTTTCTAACACTTGAAGAGGCGGAGGAAATGAGTGATAGAAGAAAGAGATGAAGATGGCTAAGGGAAGAAGAAAGACCAAAGTTCTTCACTTGGAGGAATCGCCTCATATTTATAAGCGGGCGATGACGATTCAGCGGCTTAAATGGCCGATCAACGCTGACATACATTCAATGTTTTTGGGAAAGCGGACCAACGGGATGTTTTGAACGCTTGCATCACGAGGATGACACCATCATTGAGGACTTCGGGAATACAAATTGTTTCTCATCATTTCATTCTAAGAAACGCGGGGAGTATCTGTATACGGTCAAAATCAGGGAGCCCGATTTCGGAGTCTTAAATTGGGTTATGAGTCCGGGCTCGGGCAACTCAAAAATGGAAGTCGGATCCGGTCGGGGGGCACATACCTCGAGAAGTTGATCGAGGGCCTGGCATGACTTGCATCGAGGGCAGCACAATCTCGAAGTCAATCAAGAAAGAGAGGGAATTTCTCAAGGACACATGGACCAGGGGATAAATTAAAAGATAAGATTTGTACGAAATGGTACAGGTCCGTACTAGGCTGTTATACACCTGTACCAATAGAATTCTTTACTTCAATTAGGAATGTACTATATTGGGGTTTCCTTCTCCTATATAAAGGGGACCCCAATAATTTTTGTAAGATCATCTCAAATTATTCTCTGCAATAAGAACATTCTGCTCTGCCTTTCTCATTCAACCTGCTCAACAATTATTCTACAACTTTATTGTCTTTACTTTATTGTTCATATTTTATTATTCTTAGCTGACCTCGAGGTCCCTGGGATAACCAAGCTCGAGGCCCCTATTGCCTCAAGGACACTGATTTGGCTCATCATCTCTTCTTACTTAAGCTTAATTTTACTTGTTTAATCACTAGTATTAGAATATATCACATATCTTTAAAATCATAAATTATCTTTAATTGTTACTCACATTTTTTGAGGTAAACAAAATAGCTCGTTTTATTCCATGCTTGAAGACTAATGATGTATTACATGTGGCTGATTTATTTGTGAAGGAAGTGGTTAAATTACATGGAATACCTAAAACTATCGTTAGTGATAGGGATGCTAAATTTTTAAGACACTTTTGTAGAGTTTTATGGGCGAAGTTGGGAACTGAAGTGCTATTTTCTACATCTTGTCATCCACAAATTGATGGACAAACGGAAGTAGTTAATAGGACCTTAGGGAATATATTGAGAGTTGTTTTAAAAGGAAAATTAACTTCTTGGGAAGAACATTTGCCCATGGTAGAGTTTGCCTATAATAGAACAATCCACTCTTCTACCGGTAAGTCTACTTTTGAAGTTGATTATGAATTTAATCCCCTCACTCCCCTTGATTTGTTGCCTTTGCCTACTAGTGACAGTGTTAATCTTGATGGTAGGAATAAGGTTGAAAAGATGAAGAAGATTCATGATTATATGAGGCTTGCAATTGAAGGGAAAAATGAACAAACTGCCTTAAGAAGAAGGAAAGGGCGATAATCTGTTATTTTTAAGCTGGAGATTTAGTTTGGGTGCATTTTAGGAAGGAAAGATTTCCTGCCAAACGAAGATCCAAATTAGATCCAAGAGGAGATGAGTCATTTGAAGTCCTTGAAAGGATCGGAGACAATGCGTAGAAACTTGACCTTCTTAGTGAATATCAAGTTAGTGTTACCTTTAATGTTTTTATCTTTCCTTATTTGTTGCAAGCTCGAATTCGAGGACGAATTCTTCAAGAAGAGGGTAATAATTGCATCCATGATAGCTCGACGGCATTAAAGCAGAAGGATGAAGCTCTGGAAGCTCCAAGAAGGCCCATGACAAGGTCTCAAACAAAGAAATTTCAAGACAAGCTTATGGGCTTCAATTGGCAATTAAAAAGTGTCTTATAATAAAAGAAGAGCTCCAGCACAAGGAGGATCTTTGGGCCAAGTCTTACAATATTTGGAGGCCCAAATTAAAGTCGAAGAGGAGATGGAATGAGGCCCAAATATTCCCCAAAAAGAGAAATTTTCAACAGCCCAAATAAGCCCACAAATAGTTTCTAGAATATATATTTAATAGTTGTTTAATCTATGTTGACTTACATCGGTTATCTGTATGTTGACTAGATTGGTCTTAGTGTGGTTAGTCTTCCATGCTTCTAGGGAATATAATTCCCATTTATTGAAGTCTTGACTAGCTCTTTCACTACTATATAAAGGGGTGCTTGTCTTTCATTGTGGAGAAACAACATTGACAATTAATATTATTATTGTGAGTTCTTTTGAACCTTTCTGAACTTTACTTTGAGATTTATCTTGCAACCCTAACTAGTTCATAGCTTAAGGTAGTAAGATAATTTTCTTTCTTGTGATATCTTTGGTTTCTTTTGATATTCTTCGAAGGCAACTAGTTTCTTTTACTAGTTGTTGTCGTAAGTTATTCAAACTAGAAGTCAAGATCCGAATCTAGTTCTTGATTAGCTTATCTCTAGTGAAGGCAATTAGTTTCATAACCAACTTATTGTCATTAGGATCTTGTCAAAATCTAGATTAACATAATCTCGGGGTTCTTGGATCTTTCCTTGAATTTCCACATATCTAGTTTATTTGTTTTGCTTTTCTCAATTCAATTGCATTTCTTTACTGTTTTCGTATTTCTTCAACTTATTTTCTTTAAGTTCTTGGATCTCCCAACCTTTGTGTTATCAACGGGAGAGCACATAGCCGCCGTGAATCCGGATTTTATCTTTTCTTCCACCAACCTTAGTCATTTTTATGTTTCTTTGTATGATTTCTTGTTTGGCTACCATATCTATGTGGAGCTAAACTTCACGTTCTAGAGTTGCGGTTCTTTCATGACTATTGTTATTCGGATATTGATTTTTCTTTCTTCATTTATCATATTGGATTATTTATTCAATCTTGCGCCTAATTATTTAATTACTTGATCACCAATTAAGTATTATCAACGAATCTAGAGTTGAACTCGAAAGTAGGAATTCTAGGTTGCACGTAGGATTGAGTAGAGCAAGTTCTTGAACTTGGGCATCGGGGAATGAATTTGCGCTTAAGATAGACATATACCTAATTGTCTTGCTTAGTTGATGTACATGAATTATAAATGTGTTCTTGTTAGTTTAATTCCATAGGCATATAGGCATTAAGTTAGCTTGAATAGGCGAGTAAGAACTCGGGGCAGATTCTTATGAGAAATATTAATCATGTCAAGCAATAAACTAGATGAATTAGTTAGTCAAGTCAATTGAAGAATACAATAGAAATGTTAAATATCACATAACCCCGGATCATTTTCATTACATTGATACATAAAAATCTACTCCTCCTTTGTTCAAAGTTCATTATTTATTTTCTTTTTAGTTTAATTATTTTAGTATCACTACTTTTGGGTTTAATCATTGTTAAGATAATTAGGATAGTATGATCTAGTTAATAGTTGATAACAAGTCTTCGTGGGTTCGTCACTCTATCTTATCAATTTATTACTTGATGACCGTGTATATTTGCGTGTGCGTTTGGTCACTACAAGCTACGATGGATACTATCATTCCCCTCTTCTTGAAGAGAATTTGTTCTCAAATTTGAGTTGCATCAAACAAGGAAAGATCAGGAATATTGAAGGTAGCACTTACTTGATGTTCACTAGGAAGGTCAAGTTTGTAAGCATTGTCTCCAATCCTTTCAAGGACTTCAAATGGCCCATCTCCTCTTGGATCTAATTTGGATCTTCGCTTGGCGGGAAATCTTTCCTTCCTAAAAAGCACCCAAACTAAATCTCCAGGCTTAAAAATAACATATTTTTGCCCCTTATTTCTTCTTAAGGCATCTTGTTCGTTCTTCTGTTCAATTGCAGGCCTGGTATGTTCATGAGTCTTTTTCATCATTTCAACCTTATTCCTACCATCAAGATTAATAATGTCATTAGTAGGAAAAGGCAACAAATCAAAGGAGTGCGGGGATTAAATCCATAAACAACTTCAAAAGGAGACTTACAAGTAGAAGAGTGGATAGTTCTATTATAGGCAAACTCTACCATGGGAAAATGTTCTTCACAAATAATTCATCCACATGTAATGCATCATTAGCCTTCAAGCATGGAATAAGACGAGTCATTCTTGAAAATCCATCTACCACCACAAATATACTATCCTTACCATACTTATTTCTTGGAAGTCCTAAAACAAAATCCATAGAAATATCAATCCAAGAAGAAGCAGGAAAAGGTAAATGAGTATAAAGACCATGTGGTAACACTTTTTATTTGGCTTGTTTACATTCAAGACATTGAGAGCACACTTTTTCATCATCCTTTCGCATGCCAGGCCAAAAATAATGTTCAACAAGTATATCCAAAGTTTTTTATAGCATCCTAGGAAGCTCAACTCTATTCAAGGACAATGATGAAGCTTTGAAATATCAAAGAGGGCATTTAATAAGATCTCAAACTAAAGAGTTGCAAAACAAGGTCATTGGACTTCAAGAGCAAATAAAGAATTTGTTAGTTGGGAGGAAGAGCTCAAGGATAAAGGATATGAGTTGGCTAGGTGTTATAATTATTTTATGGCCCAAATTCATGTCCAAGAATAGGTGGATTAGATCCAAAGCGATATCCTCTGAAGAAGGTCCAAATAAGTCCACTTTTGGACCCATTTGGCACCTAAAATGTGTCCAAAAATGCAGCCCAATAAGTCTTACATGAAGCCAAATTTTTATAACATAGAAAGGACTTACTTGATGTCTAACAAGGGTTAAATAGGCGTGCTAGAAGTTGAGCGAAAGTTGGTGCCAATTTGCCGTCAAGATTTTCAAGATCCTATCCAAGATTGTTTAGGAGTTTCAAGATTCTATCTGTTTACCCTCAAAAATGGATAACAACTGAATTTATACGCGATTTTAAGGATACAAAGTGAGAAAACAGATTAATATTGAAATCAATGACGGAAAAATGAATGCAAACCACACAAGTTGAACAATGTTATCGTTAAAGGTTGGTCATCCTCGAGCCAGAAATTGCCTCAGTCGATGCCAAAACAGAGTAGCAAAATAATAAGAACTAGAAATAACACTGTATTGCCTTTAGATGTGTATTACAATCTGTCATACAAATAATCAGACCCCCTTTATATAGTAGGGGAGTCCTACTTTAGATACAATTCTACAAAAAGGCAAGAAATCTCATGATTTGCTAATTAGTCAGTCTCTCGTTGATATGTGCCGAGATTCCCGCCGTGATATCCGACCGGTTACGGATATTTCGGCCTTCCGTTATTCTGTCCGATAATATTTTCTCGATTTTGTTCGGAGTCGGGGTCTGTTCTGGAGTCATGGGCTTGATGATCCTGAAGACGTATGTTCTGGCTTCGTACCTTGACTCGAAGGAACCCGAGGTTGATATCCAAACCATCTCGTTTCAATATCGATCTTTCATGTAATGGGCGAGCTCGGTTAGCCGTTTACACTATACTAGAGTAGTTTTAACTTATTTCCATATATTTTGGTACTAGATGTATTGCTTTCCTAGGTAGTTAATGTTATGTTTTCCTTTTCCTATGATTGTTGGAATTACTTTCCAAGATTGACTTGGTTTTTGTTTCCTAGTATTTTTCCTTTTCCTAATGTAGTTGGACTTGTGGTCCAAAGTAGTTTAGGACTTTATTTCCTTGCTTTTTAGCCCTAATTTCGTGAACCCCTCCTACCTATATAAGGGGTGTCTTCTTTGTTTTTAGACTTAGATTATTGCAGACTATTATGAATAAAAATTGTGAGATTTTACTTGCACTCTTGTGTGTAGCTACTCTTGGGTTTATTCTTCAATCTTCAAGACTCAACTTAAGGTGGTAAGATGAATTCTTTCATAGATCACTTCTAGGTATTTAAGAAAGGTGATAAGTTTATGCTTATGGTTCTTCTTGTTATTCTAAAGGGTCGGGCTTCACAATCTTTTTCTTATTTTTAATTCTCTACCAAAGGCGACTAATTATTCGTTAGCTAGTTCTTGTTGTTAGGATTCAACTTCAAGAATAGACTTCTTGAATTCAAGAAACTCTTTCTTGAGTTCAATCTATCTTTAATTTTAATCCTTTTCGTTTCTTTATTTTCTTTTAGCTTTCGCACGTTTCTTGATTTTTTTGTTTTTCTTTAGTAGTTCTTGGACCTCTATCGTGTTGTTATCAAGTCGTATCAGTGCATAGGCTAATCAAGATCTCAATCTTGATGATCATGGAAGGTTCTTGAGTAAAAAATAAATTAAAAAAAAACAAAAAAACAAAAATCAACCCCAAAAGTGTTATTGTTCATTATTATTTTCAGATTCAAGTATTATTTGGTTTCCAAGTGATAACAACAAGTTCGAAAATCCAAACTAGAGTAAGAATTTGAGAAGTAAATGCGGAAGTAATAACAATAAGAATTGAACAACTAGAATTAAAGTTCAGAAAATAAAGAATATGCGAAAATTCAGGGAATGATTCCAAGAACTTCCAAGAACGCAAGTTCTATAGCCTTCACAAGATCCAAGTAACAACGTGATAGGATTGATAGGTTTTCAATATCTTTGCCTTGTGTTTTGATGATCTAACAAACTTAATGTCAAGAACCAGATAGGGAACCTGACTCACTTGGATTACACTGCATCTAACGGATTCCAGCCAAATGTGAACTTGCTACAGTTTCAGGAGGTAGGAACCCAGACAAGGACCAGATACTCTTGTGGGTTCCTCATGGCAGTACAAAGTCAATTGGACACAGCTGCAAACGAATATTATGCCGCACTGCACTGTTTCCAGCGCCCACTCATTCTCTAACCAACTCAAGTGCTCACATCACTTCAAGTGATCATTCTCAAGGTGTACCTACAATGAGTCTACACAAAGCATCATTCAAGTTACTCAACTCAAGACAATCTGGGCGGTGTGCACAAGAACCAGATTAGGAACCTGATCCCTTGGTACTTCTCTGACAGAAGTCCAAGTCAACTATACATCTGGAATGCAACTGAATGACTGATCGCAATTGTACAAAGAGGAACACAACAGGGACCTGGTCCTTCAGGGTTCTCTGACAGAAGTACAAGTCAACTACAGCTGGAAAGAAATTACAGAAAGTGACTGACTGCAATAGTGCAACAGACAATGCAGCAGTCACTTCCCATTGAGATTGGACATCACTAAGGATGTCTTGTGTAGTATAAACCTTATGCAAGACACAAGTTTCAGGTTCTAATGCTTGCAAACTCAGAAAAGTAAAATATTCTCTCAAGTGTTCAAGAACCCCTCTGAAGAACAAAGCTGCTGCAACCTCAAGACCTGATCCAAGATCGAAGATATTTTAAGTCCTTAGGTTTGTAAAGTCTTTGTAATTTGTTCTTCATTGTAACTCCTATCCAGCTTTCTTAGAAGCATCGATTAGGTTGAGTCATAAGAAAAATCCTTTGTAACCATAGGGTGACAAAGTGGCTTGTGGTGGAAACATCACAAGTTAGTCAAAGCTTTTGTAACAGTAGTGTGACAAAGTGGCTTGTGGTGAAAATACCACAAGTTAGTCAAATTCTTTGTAACTAGGATAGTTATAGAGTGGCTTGTCATGAGAGCATCACAAGTTAGTTGAAGTCTTTACAATACGGTTATTGTAAAGTGGCTTGTAATAGGGAGATTGCAAGTTAGTGAAGTTAAAAGCCTACAGGTGTAGGTCGTGGTTTCTTGATCCCCTTGTGTAGGATTTTTCCACGTAAAAATCCTCGGCCTTATTTACATTCAGCTTTACTAGCATTCACTGCAGAACCCGATAAAGGACCAGGTACTCTACCATTTGGTGGACTCACACAAACTTAGCACTGTACCAAACTGATATAGGACCAGATCGCTATACAGTTTGGTTCATCAGTACTTTCAGAGGAAACACATAGAGAACCCGGTTCTCTATACAGTCTAGTGGACGCACAGTCTCTCACAAGTGGTATCAGAGCAGGTTCTTCCTATCAGGCTAACACCTACGAAGGATCTTCATAGCTGCTCCACCAACTCTTGAAAAGAGAAAACCAAAGAAGGAAAAGTACCGGGTACTTAAAGCTGCTAATAATGATTCGAGTGAGGAAGACAGTTACATGGCTTACTTAACCAAAAGGTTTCAGAAGATGGTGAGAAGAAATGGAGAAGTGCTAGAAAGGGATAGCTCTAACAGATCAAAGAACGATGATCTTTGTTACAAGTGCAGAAAGGGTGGACACTTCATGAAAAATTGTCCTCTCTTGAAGCAAGAATTCTCCAAGAACTTCAAGAGAAAAAGATCATCTGAATATGACTCAGCCTTTGCATTGATGGCTCAGTCAGATGATGATGATGATGATGAAGATGAAGACGATGAGGTAAACTTCAGGGATGTTCTGAGAAATCTAAAATCCTACTCTTCTAAGAAGCTGAGGTCTTTATCTAATGTCCTAATTGATGCCTATTATAGCCTTATAAACGATAAGGATATCCTGACCGTAGAACTAGGAGAGGCAGAGCAATCTAGAGATGATCTAGTAGTCTGTGTAGTGGACTTAAATGAGACCATAGCTAATCTTAAACAAGAAAAGGAAGCCTTGAATGAAAGAATAACTTGTGTGGAAAATGAGAGAGATAATCTGATGGTAGTATTTGTTGATCTAAAAGAAACAATAGAAGGCCTTAACAATGAGAAACACACCTTAGAAGAAAAGGTTGCATCTACTGAAGAGGAAAGGGATGACCTGTTAGTAATATGCACTGATCTAGAGGAAACCATTGAGGGACTCAATAGAGAACATAGGAATGTAAGTCTTGGGAAAGGGAAGGAAGTAGCCAGTGAGACGTACATCAAGCTTGAAAAGGAGCTAACTGTTGTGAAAACCAGTCTCTGCAGTGAACTCGAGAGGAAACAGCAACTTCAAGCTGAATTGGAGAAAGTAAGAAATGATCTTGAAAAATCTCTGAAGTGGACCTGGTCCTCAGATGCTGTCACTGTCATGTATCTCAAAAACAGTGGGAACAAGCAGGGCATCGGGTTCCAAAGGGAGAAAACTCCCTATAACCCGCACAACAAGTATGTCACTATACCTGATAACTGGCTATGTACCCACTGTGGGAACAATGGGCATTTTAAGGAAAATTGCCAGGCCAGGGTTCAGTCTGCCTAGAAAAACAAAGTGTTTTCTGATGGAGTGACAACTGAAAAGGGACCAGGTACCACTCACAAAAAGCGGATGTTGCCGCATGGACTAGGAAATCCCTCATTCATCCTTTTTATCATAACAAGGGACCCAAACTAGTTTGGGTTCCTAAATCTAACCCTTGATTTGCATGAGCAGGGAACAGTGAGAGGAAGCAGACTGCGATGGACTATGGAATGTGGATGCTTAAAGCACGCAGCTGAAAACATCATGAATCTCTTCTCACTGAAAGCCCTGCAGGAAGGGAATGTATCCTTAAGAAGGAAGTAAAGGGTACATTCTCAAGTGAATGAAAAGGTATAAAGGTTTGTTTGGCACTCAAGTGGCAACGTGCACTATGTGAATGGCCTAAAAAGTGCAGTCACCAATCTGATAACCCGCCAAGTGGTCTCAGTGGACAAAGGAAACAAGAACATCCACTCCAACTAAGTATGAATCTCCACAAGCTGGTGGCATGAGATGAGTGAAGTCGCAACCATGGCATGAAGGATTGTTATATGCAAACTTCTCACCTTCGAATAAATAAACTCAGCAGGACCTGGTCCGTGGTCTGCCAAACTCAAAGTGTCACCTGGACATGAGTTCACAAAATGAACGAGAAGGGGGAAGAAGGGATCACGCACAATTTCTCAACACTCAAGGACTCCACAGCAAAATGGTATTGCTGAAAGAAAGAACGGAACTGAAAAATATTGCATGGACAATGCTCATCGTTTGTGGAATCACCAAGAAATTCTGGGCAAAAGCAGTAAAAACTGATTTCTACGTGGAGAACAAGTGTCGGATCAGGTCCCTTCTGAATCAAAACCCACTATGAGCCGCCAAATGGAGGAAAATGCCATGATCTCGACAACAGGAAGGATCAGCTTGGGAAGCTCAATGCAAAAAGATGGAGCGAAGGAATCCTTCTGGGGTACAATCCACAAAACAAGGCCACAAAGTCTCAAACAAAGGGCACTAAATGGTAGGAGGTGCTCATGAGATATTCAACAAGACACTTCCGGTGATGATCAATATGATGAAATGAGCAAGATGAAGGAGACTGGTAAAAGACAACGCAACATCATCCTCCACGGCTCACAAAGAACCTGGGAAGGAACCTGCTCATTGATCAGATTTATGTGGATGACATCATATTTGGAGCTACAGCTAACTCATTATGTGAAGAAAATGAGTACGATGGGGGGAACTGAATGTCTTCCTAGGTCTTCAAGTGA